GAGGAGATGTATGAAGGCAGCAGACCAGGAAGTGATTTAAAGATGAAGATGTACCAGTGAGAGAGTCTGTGTGGAGTTAATGGTGACCAGTTAACCAGTGAATACTGGGTGCAGTGGTGGGTACGGTAGTTACAGCCAGTTATGAATCTTAGTGCACCATGATAGACAGCATCCAACATCTGCAGCATCCAACATCTGCAGCATCCAACATCTGCAGGGTTCTTGTAGGAGCATTCATGTAAATAATGTCACCGTAATCAATGGAGTTTAACTTTCAGGTCCTTTACCAAGTTTTACACGTGAAGCTTAAAAGGTGCGAGTTGACCAAGATACCCAAATATTTATAAGAATCGACAAACTCAATAGAGACACCATTTAAGGATAAGATCAGAGGAAGAACTGCTGGGACCGACTTCCTGTTTGAAAATAACATCCTTTTGGTTTTATCAGTGTTTAGGACAAGTTTGGGATGGAACAAATCAGACTGGATGTTGTTAAAAACAGACTGTAAAAGTTGGAAAGCCTTAGCAACAGTTTTAGCTCGACAGTAAACAACTGTATCATCAGCATAGAAATGTATGGATGCATCAGGGATGCTCTGACCTACATTACCTGTAGATTGTAAAGGGGGTGGGTCCTAAGACGGAGCCTTGTGGTACACCATTGTTGACAGGTAGATAGCTGGAAAAAGTACCATTATGTTGAACACATTGCCTCCGATCTGAGAGATAGTTAAGAGAACCAACCAATGGTGTGATCTGAGAAAACAATTTTTGAGAACTAATTGGTTTCTCAGATCACACCGTTGGTTGATTCTCTAATTATTAGACTTTTATTAAAAACTTAAGAATTTACTTCACTTAAGAAACCATCCATCCATAATCTTTACCTGCTTCTTCCTTTTTGGGTTGCCTGTGCTAAAGGCTAGCTAAAGAAGCTCCAGTAGCAGAATTAAAGAACATTTTTAAAACAAAGGATGAAACTTGAAACATTTCTGTGAGGAAAATGTTCATGTGATATTTTACTAACAGAGCTGCCACAGTGGGAAACGTTAACCTGTTGTCTCTGTCAACAACAAACATTTTATAGACAACACGATTTTATTCTCAAAGCATATGGAGGTGTGTGTGACGTCATGGAGGCTCATCTGTGTGTGCTCCAGGTGTGTTACCGGATCCTCATGCAGCTGTGCGGTCAGTACGGGGAGCCGGTTCTGGCGGTCCGGGTCCTCCTGGAGATGAAGAAGGCTGGAATCACCCCGAACACTATCACCTACGGATACTACAACAAGGTAACACACAGACCGCCAAAAACAGCTGAACTTCTTCTTCTTCTTTCGGCTTTTCCCTCTTCAGGGTCACCACAGCGAGTCCTCCTCCATCTCTGTCCTCTGTGTCCTCTGTCCTCACTCCAACTATCACCATGTCCTCTCTAACTGCATCCATGTGTCTCCTCTTTGTCTTCTTCCTGCAGCTGCATTTCTAACATCCTTCTACCAATATACCCACTGTCCCTCCTCTGGACATGTCCAAACCACTGTCCCTCCTCTGGACATGTCCAAACCACTGTCCCTCCTCTGG